GGTTGTTGAGCTTTATAAATGTTTATTATATTCATGTCTTTAATCAAATTTGGCAAGTTTTCAGCCATTATTTCTTCATATATTCTCTCTGCCTTTGTCTCTCTTACTGGGACTCCCACAATGCATATCTTGCTCTACTTGTTGGTGTCCCATGGGTCCCTTAGGCTCTGGTCACTTTTCTTCCATCTTTTTTCTCTCTGTTCCTCAGACAAGATAATTTCCATTGTCCTATCTTAAAGTTCATGGATTATTTCTTCCTGCTCAAATGAGTCTTTGAATTGCTCTAGTGAGTTTTTCATTTCAGTTACTACACTTTTCAGGTCCAGAATTTCTTCATGGTTTCTATTTAGGTTTCCTATTTATTGATATTTCCATTTTGTTCATATTTCGATTATATTTTCTTGACCTTCTCTACATCTTCCTTTGTTTTCTTTGTTTTTTGAGCATCTTTAAGCTAGACATTTAAAAATCTTTGGCTAGTGTATCTGCCATCAGAGCTTTTTTATGGACAGTTTCTTTTATTTCTTTTTTTCCTTTAAAGGACATACTTTTGGGGCACCTGGGTGGCTCAGTCATTAAGCATCTATCTTTGGCTCAGGTCATGATTCCAGGGTCCTGGGTTCAAGCCCCGCTTAGGGCTCCCTGCTCAGCGGGAAGCCTGTTTCTCCCTCTTCCATTCCCCCTGCTTGTGTTCCTCTGTTGCTGTGTCTCTCTCTGTCAAATAAATAAAATCTTTAAAAAAAAAAAAAAAAAAAGGCCATACTTTACGGGTTTTTTGTATGGTTAAAGTTTTTGTTTTGTTTTGTTGTTTGCTGAAAACTGGTTATTCTAATATGTTAATTCTGGAAATCAGATTTTCCCCCTTCCCCGTGTCTTGCTGCTTTTTATTATTGTTTTTTGGGAGGTATTGTAGGCTCTCTGACAAGGATCATCAGCCTGAGGTAAAAATTTAAGGTCTTCTTCAAGACTTGCCCTGGGCATATACAGTCTTTCTGATTTCCCCTGTATGTATAGTTGTTCTTCAATCTCCTAGTCTTTAATGTTGGGCTCCCATAGGGAGGAAAAGTGAGAAATAAAGGGAGGGAAAGGGCATAGGCCCTTTAAAGCCCCTTGAAATTTCTTCAACTTGAGTGGGGGAAGGGCTTATCATGGGGAAGGTCTGACAGCAGTGACTACCCTTCTCTGTGTCTGTACCTCTTGGATGGGAAGCAGCGATCAGAGTACAAGGTCCCAGTATTCGGAGGACAGTCACGTATGGCCACCCTGGTTCCTGCAAGCTCTGTGTAAGCTGCTCCGAGAACAAGTGCCTTGCCTGTGACCGGGGGTGGGGTGTGGTAGGAAAGGTGACTGTTCACTTTGCTCAGAGCTGAAATTAACCACAGTACTGTCCTGGTCTTCGTCTTGGAAGTTGCAAGCCTTCAGTAAACTCCAGAGTTCCAGAGCAGTTCCCTGAGACAGACTCCACAAGCACAATTATTTAGGTGGGGAGGCCAGTTCTGCCAGTGCTTCCTGCTCTGCTGTCTCCTCAGAATCTTCTGTCTGTGCATGTGTTTTAGGGACATACCTTCAGGGTGAGAAGCTAGAAATGGGATTGCTAGATCAGAAGATAAATGCATATGTAACCGAGTTAGATATTGCCAGATTGCCCTCCTTAGAGCTTGTAAAATTTTGCGTTCCTACTAGCAGTGTATGAAAGTACTTGTTTCCTCACAGCTTCACCAACAGTACGTTGTCAAGGTTTTGAGTTTCTGCCAATCTGGGGTAAGTAGTGATTTCTTAATGTAGAGATAAAGTAAAGCCTAAGGAGAGAAAGCAGTAGTACAGAGAACTAACCTGGATTTCTAGTTAAAAAATGTGAATTAAACACGTGTTTCTCTTCCCTCCTAAGACCCACTAAAATGGGAATAAAGAAAAAGAACTTGGGGCGCCTGGGTGGCTCAGTGGGTTAAGCCTCTGCCTTCAGCTCAGGTTATGATCTCAGGGTCCTGGGATGGAACCCTGCCTCAGCTCTGCTCAGTGGGGAGCCTGCTTCCCTTCCTGTCTCTCTGCCTACTTGTGATCTCTCTTTCTCTGTCAAATAAATAAAATCTTAAAACAAACAAACAAACAAACAACTTAGGAAGGTGCTGCTTCTGTTCTGATAATGTGCAGTGTTTTGTTTGTTTAAAGTTCAGTTGAATATCCTTTTGGTGAAATACTGGTTTAGAACTTTACCCATTTTTCTAACTGGTGTTTGATTTTTCACAGTTTTTAAGAATTCTTTGTGTATCAAGGATATTGTCCTTCTGGGATGTTGTAAATATTTTCGGGTTTTTTTTTTGGATTTGTTTCTGGTGTGTTCTGTTTTAACCATGCAAATTTTTTTCTTCTGTTGCATTATGTTTATGAGCGAGGCGCTGAAAAGCTGATGGGAAGCTTTATGTTTAAGGCTGGGGCTTATCCATGGACAAGGTTCTTGATGTTCTATTCTTGGGGTCATTTGGATTTAAAAGAGTCTACCAGTTTCTTGGTAAAGAAAGTTGGCAGATGGGCCCTTTTCTGTACATGGATCTTTTATCCCTGTATTTTCTTTTCTTCTTTCCCATTGCTGTGCCTGGGGTCCTCAAATCTCCTACTTTGGGTCTTGTATTCTATAGTTAGCTTTCATTCTCCTGCTGTAGTTGGGGAACTATAGTTTCTTGTAGTTGCTATGTGTCATGTATTGAGAATCCAGGGATTTTTTTTTTTTCCCCCAGTCTTGGAATCAATCTAGATGTTAACCTCATGCCTCACCATTGTCTTGGGAAGTCATTCAGAGGTGTAGATTTTTTTTTTTTTTTAAGATTTTATTTATTCATTTGACAGGCAGAGATCACAAGCAGGCAGAGAAGCAGGAAGCAGGCATGCGGGGCTCAATCCCAGGACCCTGGGATCATGACCTGAGCCAAAGGCAGAGGCTTTAACCCACTGAGCCAACCCAGGCGCCCCAGAGGTGTAGATTTTTGAATCCTTTGAGAATTAGGTAGTGAGACTTGACTGACTTCCACGGGCACTTGGGATGTCTGTTTTCTCAGTCCTGGTAGTTTCTCTTTTCTCATCTGTGGTCTCAGGTTCTTTATCTTAATTTCTTTTATTCTCATTTCAGTGGATTTTAGATGGGAGAAGAAAGAAACATACTAATTTATTGTACTTAACTAAAAATCCAGGTGGTTGTTTGCCCATAGAGTTCTTTCTCTCTCCTTTGGCTCTACTTCCTGAGCAGTTGGATCCTCTCAGTACTTCACATATTGTGCTTTTATATGTCTATACTCAGATGATTCTGATCAGTAGTTAGAAAATTGGTTTCCTTTTTCCCTCTTTGATGTCCTTTTTAACTTAAAGGGAAGGTTTTTTTTTTTTTCTTTCAATTGCAAGCAAAAGATTGTTGGTTGGTCTTTTGAAATATGAATGCTACTGAAAAGTCATTTGACTTAAATTTGACTTCTGTTGACTTAATTGACTTAAATTTCCTTATATTGGTATAGTTTGGGGATTATAGCTATTTTGTAGTTTCATCTTAAATGAATTTCCTTTCCTCTTTCTTCTTTTTATTTTGGTGGTTTCAAGAAGGGGAAGTAACCATACCTTTATTCTTTATTTTAAAATGCATTTACTACAATGTCAAAAGCAGTGTTCAAATCTTATATTTCATTTAGGACTTTGAATACCTGGATTAAGTACCCATGCCAAGAACTTTTCCTGATTTGTATAAAAAGTTCTGCATGAAGTGTATGATTCTAGTCTGGCACATTTGGTCACAGTGAGTTTCAAGTCACAGTGAACAGAGGAGAGCGCCTCCTATAACACACATGTGCTAGAAGTATAGAGCTGTCAGAGTCTGCGGCAGCTGCAGGAACTGGTTTCTTTCACTACCCTTCTTAATAGCTCTTGTCTCTCAAGGTACTTCTGCTCCTGTCTGCACATCTGCTTCAAGGTCTCCATGCAAGCCAGTAGTTTCAGTTCTCTTGTAAGTTAAGCTTACATGAGCTGCTGGTCTCTCTCAAACCTACATGTGCTCTTTCTGCCTCAGCTCTGTACAGCTGACAAGTGTACAGCTGTTGCTGTTGCTTGTCATATTTCCCAGAAAAACAGATTGGCCCAGACCATCTTTTTGTGTTCCATTTGCGGTTTGTTGTTCTAGCCAAACTATAAATTGGCAATCTTGAATCAGGCGTCCAGCGTTGTTCATCTGCTTCCAGATGTCAGAGAGGGAGCAGTAGGGCAGCAGAGCCGTGGTAAGGAACCAGAGATGGGACGGTTACCCTGGTGTAGGTGAGGGAGTAGGATAGACCTGAATACATAGGGTATTCTCTCCTTCAGTATCCAGTTTATTTTTAATAGACTACCTCAGGCAAATACTTAGTGCAGAATGAATGTTGTAGGAAACTAATACTTAGGTGTCAGAGATGACTGGGAAATCTTTCCTATTTGATCCTATTTTCGGTTTGCACTGTGAATGTAGTAGCATAGTGTGAGAAAGATGACTGTACTAGAAGACAGAAGTCTTGGATTCTAGACCTGGTTTTTGCCAATATTGCCTTTCTTCATCAGAATAATTTTTAAAAGGTCAATGGAGTAGAATAGTTTTAAGGTACTGTGTAGCTGTAAAAACGTTGTGACTCAGATTGTGCCTTACTAAGCTGGGAAAGGTAATTTTCACAAAATTAAAAGTTCAGGTTAATGTAAAAAATTAGGAACAAGAATAGAATGATTGGACCCATATGTTAGGAATAGATATGGGAGTTTTGTAGTGAGCTTGATTCTTCTCATCTGTACTTGCTTCATTTGAAATGGGATGGTCTTTGTAAATAGATTGAAGTCAGTATGGTTACAAACTTCCCAACCTAACTTGAAATCAAGTAGTGTATTACTGTAAGTATAATATTGAAATTTGAAATGCTTTTTGTCTTCGATGCTTGTTTAAGAAATAGGAATTGGATATTTGGAATAATTGAGTGAAACGCGTTTCTTTTACTTTTTAGGATTTAAGTGCCCCGTATGCTCAAAATTCGTACCTTCAGATGAAATGGATTTGCATCTTGTGATGTGTTTAACAAAGCCAAGAATAACCTATAATGGTAAGTCTGGTGCTTTAAAATGCTATTTTAAATTAGAATTACCTAAGATTTTATGAATTTTATGTTTCAGGTAAAATTGAAAAGGCAAGGAACCCTGGAGCTAACTGGTTTTTTAGTTAGGTCTGATGCTTTGGCTTTACCATTCTTTCCTGACCACCATCTCCAGACATTTAAAATCCTAGGCAAGATTTCTCAGTGTAGCTTTGGTACATTTTGAAATAGACTTAAAAAAAAAAACAACAACACAGTTCATTCCTGGCTTTTTTCAAAAATTTTTAAATAGACAAATTTCAAAAGCCTACAAGAAATTTCACAGATTTTTCAAATGTAGTATTTGATTTGGAATAGAATGAGTAGGAAGAGCACCAGTAAACAGTGAACCCAATTGAAAGGTTGACTTCATTCAACAAATGTCTTTTTTCCTTTAAAGATTTTATTTGTTTGTTTATTTTAGAGTGTATGATTCAGGGGAGGGTCAAAGGCCCTGGAGAGAGACGGGCATACAGACTGCTGAGCGCAAGGTCCCATACCAGGAGATCATGACCCCAGCAAAATCAAGAGTGGTCAGTTAAACTACTGAGCCATCCAGGCTCCCTTCAGTAGATGTCTTATGAGAACCTGTGGAGTACGAGGTGTGGTGTTAGGAGGTTGGGATACAGCAGTGAATAAAACAGATGGATTCTACAGCTGAGCATCAGCCAGAAGTTAACCAGTTTAGCCCACTTAAGAATTTGAGATTAAAAAAAAAAAAAAAAAGAAAAAAAAGAATTTGAGATTTCTCCCCAGATTACAAAAATGCTGAGGTGGGAGGTAGACTTTAATATTGACATAAACATGTTACCCTGTCTAGCTCTTTTGCAAACTGATTTAGGAATCTCTTTCTAATAGAGCAGTGCTTCAGCCACACCATTTGTAGTATTGACAATAGAACCCTTTCCCTCCACCCTTTATTTTCCAATGAATAAGTAAAAGAAGATTATAGCAGTTCCTTTGAATAGTAAATGCACCTGTTGATTATATCCAAACCTTCTTGCATTGTCAAATTGAATTGGTTACTTGGCATAATATAATTGAAATTCAGTTACTTAAAAAATAAACATTCTCAATCAGGTTCAAAATTTGAGATAAAAGTGATGGGGCTTGTTTCTCATTTGTACTCCATGTCTTATCATTACCCTCCATAATTATGTTTATTGCAAGCGTTTTAAAAATAAAAATCCTTAAATGTTAAGAGTCTAGCCGTGAATTTTGAAAGCACAAATATTAATTCCTTGAACAATGTTTGCACATAACCTTAATATTCTGTACATTTCCTTATTGTGAGAGATATATATACATACATACATATATATAAATCATATATATATGCTACATATATGTATATGCTACAATCTTTGTGAATGCTGTTTGGCAGTTTTTAATTTCCTTAATTGGGCTCAAGCCAAGAGTTTCTTGTTTGTTTTTTAAGATTTTACTTATTTATTTGACAGAGGTCACAAGTAGGCAGAGAGGGAGAAGCAGGCTCCCTGCAGAGCAGAGAGCCGTATGCGGGGCTCTATCCCAGGACCCTTTTATTTAACCCACCAGGCCACCCAAGCCCCTCAAGTCAGGAGTTTATTTTTTACTAGCTCATGTATTTGGTATCTTGAAGATAACCTCCAAGAATCAATATGTAACCTTCTGCTTGGGTATAGTGTTGTTGGAAAGGAACCCACAGGCCCAAAATGGTGTCACTTAGGTCAAGGCACCAAGTCAGTAAACCAAGACTCAATACCTAACCTAACTGCAATTTCACACACACACACACACACACACACACACACACCCCCACCCCCAACACCCACACCCCCAACACCCACACCCACACCCCCCCCCCCCCCCGCCGCCCCCGTTGTAGCCTTTAACTAGTCAACATGAGAATTTCCTGGTCAGCACTAAGAAATGTGATTAGATGCCTCCAGTTCACCGGAGAAGGGTGACCTTGACTAAAACAATGGGTACTTTGCAAATTTTCTTTTTTCCACCTCCTCTCTACCTTTAAAAACCTTTCCTTTTTTGTAGCCCTTTCGAGCTCCCCTCTACCTGCTAGACAGAATGCTGCCTAATTCATGAATTGATTAATAAAGCCAGTTAGATCTTCAAAATTTACTCAGTTGAATTTTTGTTACTGAAAACTGTAAACCAAGAATTTAGGTTTTAAATACTGAATAGTCTTCAAATTCAGACATTAGTTAACTTAATGGGAAAAGCAAATAAAGGTGCAGATATTTTTAAGAATGGCTACCTACTTTACGGTAGGTATATCTGAAACTTTTTAATTTGTTAAATATATATTAACTGTCTATAAACATTTGAAAAAAAGCAGCCAAAAACAGTTTCTTTATAGAAATGGGACAGTGGCCAGCAGTGGTAGTAAAAGAAAAAGTTGTTTGGATTGGCTGTTTGAGGTTAGAGAGTGGTGGCTGATGGGCAGTATGCCTTCCCATTACGGTCTGCAGGATTCTTACACCAGGCTGTTTTGAGGGCAGAACCCTGTAGGGAAGGAAAAAAAAATGATCCGGTCTACACTTCTGAGTTCTTGGCAGAGACCTCTAATAAAAGACAGATTAATAAGAGAAAAACAAAAGTTTAGCAGTGCTTGACTTATATACATGGGAGATACCCTGGGAGAAGGGAGTAAATCTCTGAGATGATTTAGAAGGTGGGTTTAATGCTGTCTTCAGCTAAAGACAAAGAAAGTGAGGGTGGGGTTGGGAGCCTCTAGCTATGGGCCTTACAGGGAAAATTAAGGTAAACAAGGCGTTTGTTATGCATATTTAAGCACGGGAGTCTTCTCCACTGATAAGATAGATTCTCTTCTAATAGTCTCTTACGACAGTTTTACAAATGGAGATTTCCTTTATAAATGCAAATTTCCCTTATAAAAGGATAATGTTTACTCTTTTCAGAGCTTTTATATCTGTTTTTCCAATCTCTTGAAAATAATCCTATACCAAAGAGGCTTATTTTGAGATGGCAGATTCTGTTACCTTTCAGTCTCCTAAATCTCATCTATCACAGATGATAAAATTGGGCTCTTGAACGGGTAAGGTAGTCATCTAGGATCACTACAAAGTTTAGAGCAAGTTGAGTCAGAAAAATCTCGTGTCAGTCACATGGTTTTCTAACTTCCAATTTGAATTCCTAAAAAAAGAAAGATGTGCATCAGAAAGGTAGGGTGTGTAAATTGTGTTGATACTCAAATGAGAATTTTTTTTTTTTTAAGATTTTATTTATTTATTTGACAGAGAGATCACAAGTAGACAGAGAGGCAGGCGGAGAGAGAGGAGGGAGCAGGCTCCCTGCTGAGCAGAGAGCCCGATGTGGGACTCGATCCCAGGGCCCTGAGATCATGACCCCAGCCGAAGGCAGCGGCTTAACCCACTGAGCCACCCAGGCGCCCTCAAATGAGAATTTTTTTAGCATGGTGTTTATTATACCTTTTACAGCCTTTCCTAAACTAGCTAGAACTGAAATTTTGAAAAGTATTTGTTAAATGTATACTTATTTAACTATAAATATTCAGAGCAAGACGATTGATTAGTTGAGCTTGTTTTTCAGGCTGAATATATTTATAGTCAAACTCTACAATAGCATGAATTTCAGAAATTTAAACATAAACTGGTGATTCAAGAGTTCCAGATTTATACTCCAAGACATTACTCTGTTTGGTTTCCAGACTAGCTCACAATGATTTTGTTTTTTTGTTTGTTTCCTTTAACCTGTAATAATATATGCAAATACTCAAGTCTTGGTAACTGAAGAAGAAAATTGGCTAGGTAGAAGCTCTCAGGGTTAAGGCACCTGGCTCGACAGAGGTTCAGGTAGGAGGCCCAAGGCAGTCTGACAGGGAATGATTCAGAGCGATGTGAGTGCTTACCTACTGCAGGTGGTGTTTTTGGCAGGATGGAAAAAATTCAGAGTGCCACAGTGAGTGTTCATCTGTATCGACTGCCGTTAAGTCAGGGACTGCCTGTTGCACGGTCACTGAGTATGCTCTGGCAGTTAAGAAAGATCTAGTGAGACCTTTTACAATGCAACTTGGTAAGTTTATTTATTGTAGGCAGGAAGAGCTACACTTTTCTGCATGAAGCCGGTGGGTATATGCTTAGTGTTCAAGGCGGAGGGGACATGAAGGGTATATTAGATCATAAATGTTTTCTTCGAATTTCTACTCGTAAAACTACTTTCACAAGATTTCTCTGGTGCTTATCATTCAGCTTGATATTAACTATGGGTGACATACGGGCAGTCATGAGACCCTGTAAGTATGTAGCAACCAGTCCGTATTTGATCCTTATCGGAACTATGCCGGCTATAGATCCCGCCTTCTGGGCTAAAGGTGAACATTTTTGTCCTTCTGTCTGTCATCACTGACTATTTCATATACTTTCCCCCTTTTCTGTGTGCTTGATTATTTAGTTTGTGGACCTAATAATTCACTGGGTAGTCTGTGAACTTAATATAAATTTTATGGGCATTTCTTTGTTCCTCATTTTCTGAAGTGTTTCAGAACCAAAACCAAAAGATGAAATACTGTTAGCAAGTTCTTAGTCTTGATTTTATTGGTCTTTAAAGTTCATTAGATCATAGCATGTTTTGTGTCCTATAAAAGTTCAGTTTTGTTTTAGTTTACAGGAGTGTAAATGAAGGTAGTAAGATTCGTATTTAAGAAATCTTTGCTTTAGTGGAAATTGGTACTTATGCGTGTGCATGTGTACCTGCAGGACATACAACTGAAGGCTGGCTTTTCTTGAGAGTTCATTACAAACTTATCAGTGAATCAAAGCAGAGCTTTTCACAATCATCAGGAATAAACCTGACTGCCGACAGGGTAAGATGTGACTATTACCGTAAACAAATTTGAAGAACGATTGAGTCCCTTGGAAGGGAACTCTTTTTGTAATGAAAGTGAGGAAGAAGGTTCCCGCCTTCTGTGCAGTCCGCCAGAGAATGTGAAG